TTATTATTTATATATTATTATGTATTTTTAACATAAAAAGGATTATCCTCTAAGAAATAAAGGTAATTTGTATTTTTACAATAATTAAAGTACCTGTTCAAAAATACTTATAATTTATCTTGTTGAAAAGTAATTCTTACAAATGTATAAAAATTATATTTTTCAAAATAATCAATTTTTGAAACTTAAAAATTAATTTGATAATGATAATTACATTAAGGTAAATAACTTGAATTGTAAAATGCAAACTACAAGAGCAAAGAAAAATGGAACCCTAAATTAACATAAAAAATTTTTAAATTGCATACAAACCTAATCCCTTTCAATAAGTGCACCAATGGATTCAAATAATTGCTTGATTGACCTTGGAACATGTAATGGTGTGATTGTTCCAGCCTTGGATTCCATGCAATCACTCTGGCAATTTTTTTATCTTGTATTTTTTCTATATAATTAATTATATATCTTGGTTAAAATAAAAAATAAAATAAGATACAATATTGCTATTTAATACTTTCCTCATGTGTGAATCCTTTCATCTTCACATTTGTCACAATGTTCATTAAATACATTTGATGTTATAATTGTCATAACAAACAATTGCATCACCCAGGTAATAAATAACACCAAGGCCATGCATAAATGAAATTTTTAATATGTGTGTCTACCCAGATCTCTGGGGTTCACAAAAATAAATTATTTTTCCCAATTATCAATTATGGTTTCTTATGAATAATAAATCTGATGTTGATCGCAGGTGTCAGATTTAATTAAAATTTCCTGTCACAAACATGCAATAACCATGCTTTGCATGCCCTATACCTGAGCGATTTTTCCCACAGGTTAAGCCGCACACATGTTGGAAGGCTTTGGACAAAACTTTTCTTTATCTTCCCCTCAGACCAGGCTGGCTGTTACCATATGGAGCATTGTTTGCTGATGAGAATTGACATTCGTGTGATGCTTGCTTTGTGTTATCCCAATCTCTAGAATAAAGTTGGTGTTAAGACTGGCTTGAAAATTCTCCAATTCTGGAGGTTACAACCTGGATTGCTGTTTTGGTTTTTCCCTGAATTCGGAATTTTGAGTCTTGGGTTGCTGTAATTTTTATGAAAAAAAAAGTATTAATATTTTAACAATTAATTATTTAAATGTTTATTTTGTTGAAAAAGATATACATTGATAGTGTACATTTTCTGTGCTTAACATCCATGTGACCCTAAGTCTGGACAAAAGATCCCTTTCTATGAGTTTGGCTGGTATACCTAAAAGGTGTCTCCTGTCTTGTCAGTGGCATCACATTTAAATAACAAATTCAGTTGGTCAAATAAAAATTAAAGAGATGCAGAGAATTTGGGGAAATGATTAATTTATAACATACCAAAATCCAAACCATTTTATGACTTTTTTCTTGTTGGCCACATTGCTGACAAAGATGTATATAATTTTAATCTATACAACAGAGGACTGATTAGGAAAAACCCATCCCAGTCCCCTACCCAAAATTATAAATTGGTTAGTATCAGAGAAACAGAGAATTTAGGAAAGTGATTATACAAAACAAACACTATTTTTACAACTTCCCTCTTAACATCAGAGTCCAAATGCAATTTCAGGGCCACAAACCCTGCTCTGAATTGTGACCTCCTGTGTTTGAAACAAGTTGCAGATTCTCTTTGCTTTGATGGATCTGGATATTTACATGGCACTACAATTCATCAGCAGAGTTGCAGCTTGGTCACAGATCCATCCTTACCCTAGAGGTGGGATCGTTGCAGGCAACTTTTCGTCTAGCATACCAGCCTTCTCTGGTCTGGGTGTTGTGAGGGAAGATTAGTGAAAAGTGTCATTGACGATCGATGCAGCCTGGTAAACTCCAGGGCCTTACACCCCCCCCTGGAATTCTGTTGCATCATTGTATCATCGGGGGCCTTGCAGTCAGATTAGCCTTTTGTACATGAGGAACGTGTGAGAATGACTGTAATGTGTTCAAGGTAGCGTACGTGCTTCAACATCTGTAAATTTTCGATAATCAAACGTTGCATATCAAATTGTTTCTTTTGCAACAGTCAATGCTGCCTTGACATCTTGTAATTATAATAATATAATATTAGTATTATTGTTATGATTACGCAAAGCAAAATATTATCAATGAAAATCTTGTAATTACCCAGTAAGATCTGTTCCGCGTTTTGATTCCAATTAAAATATTTATAAGCTAAAATAAAAATATCAATACAAATAAAAAATAGTAGATCTGGTTAGTTATTAACGTTTCTTTAGGAGACCCAAACCAAACCAAACAACAACACTCGCGTTTTGTCACCTTGGACTCTGTCAAAAAACAAATTGTTTTTTTGTTTTTCCAAAAAAAAAAAAAAAAAAAATCAATTAGCGTCTGTCCTACCAAAAAGAAACCAATAGGATAAATAATTAGTGTGTACGAGTTGATCAATTAACAAACTTTTTCTACAAACTTCTTTTTCTAACAATAAAAATTGAATCATTGCATTGAATGAAATTAAATTACCCGATTAATATAACAGGAACGGTCAAAATTGTTCTATTAATTAGCTTATCAACGAATTACTGGAATCATTGAAAAACACATTGATAATAATTAATAATTGATATATCAAAAAGGAAATTATTTAATCGAGAAGATAACAATTAACTAATTAAAAAGAGCGGGAATAAAGAAAATACATACAATGCCTAGAGATAAGAGACGACAAGAGGATGAAATAACTGAACGTGGGTAAGTGTTTTAAGGATGGTGGTGGGTTATCGCCCGCCACTCGTCGTTACTCTAGTTTTAATATATAATAATAATAATAATATAATTTTGTTTTTTTTATTTATCTAGTGCTAGCAATAATGAATCTAATCTGTAAGTGAAAAAATCAAAGATGCTGAATTAGAAGAACTTTAGGAAACATGTTTTAAACTTGTTTTATCAATTCTGACAAAATTATTTAAAAAAAAAACGAAAATGACTTTCGTGAAAAACAGGGAAAAAAAATGAAAAAAGACATTAAAGAATTCGTTGAGTGAGTATTGTTAAGAGAGTAATTCAAAAAAATGGTGGTTGCATGCAGCTCATTGTTCTAGTTTATAATACATGTTTTGCAATTATACTAAATTTTGACTTTGTATTTATGTTTTTAGATCCGATGAAGAAAGAAATTATGTAAGTAATAGGCAAGTTATATTGAACAGTTTTGATGACCAATACTATTTCAGACTTCGTGAGTTGATTCAATATCCAATTTAGGAAAACTCATTTGTGGATATAGCTGAATTGGAGTATAACCAGCAAGATAACAAACAGCAGAATGACATTGATGATAGTGAAAGCATCAAATATTTGAATATAAAGTTTACACCAGAGACGGTCATAAGAACAGAAACACCACCACTGGAAAATAATTATGAAGTCACGGAAAGATATGTCTATAAAAAACCTCTACTAAATCCTTTTATAATCGAACATTCACAAAAAAATGATCATTACTGTGACATTGAAGAAGAAGAAGAAGTTATTGAAGAATATGATGCGGTAGAAACAATCGTTGGTGGAAAAAATTCTGCTTGGATAGTAAATGGAATTGATATCCGAGAAAGGCTCACACAGTACCAGTTAGAACAAAAACCACCAAAAACAAAACCAGAGCGTTATGACATTATATTCTTTGGTAACAAAGAAAGTGATGGTTTTTTAAAGATGCTTGGTGAAGATATAGTTGTACAAATGCACAATGATATCAAAAGAGAAATTGCATATACAAATGATGAAAATGTCAAGTCAGTATTGTGTAGTATTGTTAATCGTGAGATAAATGAGACTAAAACAAATTTAGGAAAACATTTGGCTGATTCATTTGAAAACCATTTTACATCGCATTTTGTTAATCATATGTGAGTATTTTCCTATATTTGATTGATCCTTGATGAGATAAATATAATAAAACTAACCTTTGCTTACACAGGATAAAACTGATGGAGAATGATACTAATTTAGTTTCCGAACCTATGTCTGAAGGAAGTTACATTGTATATGTTTTGACACCGATCCTTAATGAAATTTTTATAAAACATAAAAAAAAATGGCGTGCTACATATGGCGAGACATGCCTTAAGGCAAGCTCTGAAGATTGCAATTCCCAGAAAGCAGACGATAAAAATCGATCTCCTGGAAGGAAAATCGATACAATCATTACTTTGAGGGAGGAAGATGAAGATTTTTCGGTCATTGAAGTAAGTGGACCTCCATTGAAAAAAAACTGGAGCCATTTCAAAAGTGATCGAATGAAGATTTCAAAAATGCTAAAAACTTTAATCAATCGGCTTGTAAAAATTCGTCCAAGTTCTGACATTAGAATGGTTAGGTTATACGGAATGCAATCATATTGTAAATCTTCATTGCCATTTTATTATTATCATTTTGTTATCACCACTTGTTTTTACTGACTAATTATTGATATTTATAGTATTTGAATTAATTATATATGAATTCAAACTAAATTATTCTGAAATTTACACTATGGAAGAAATATTAAGATTTCCAATGCCTAAAACATGGAAAGATATGTTTAAAGCACACGAGACAGTGATAGGCTTATTAAAATATGAGGTTTGTATAGCAATAGGCAGATTCTCAAAAAATATAGAATATATAATAATATTAATATTTTCATATTAGCTTCTGTTATTAGAAAGTTCAAAAACAATAAATGATTTTCTGTGGTCTGAATCTGATAACCAAGTCACGACAATGACAACTCGGATGATTTATACTCCAGATAACAATGGCACTAAGAAAATCCAAAGAGAATTCTGAACAAAAACGTCAAAATACAATTCGTGCAGGTTTTAAAGAATTAACGGATATTATACCAACTTTAAAAAATGTCAATAATTCCATATTAATTAAACATTTGGAAAGGAGAAATAATATTTATTACTATAAAAATCATTATATTAAAAGAATTTTATTATATGCTCAAGATAAATATTAGTAGAAACATTTCAAATGTTAAAAAAATTACTGTTGTTTTTGCTAATTTGATTAATTAAATAGACATTAAAAATTAATTGGATGTATTGTACTGTACAAGGAGGCTTCAAAAAAATTTCGTACATTGTATGAAATGTCATTGTGATTTATATGAATTATTAGTTTAAACATGGACAAATTTAATTTATATTGATTTTATTAATTTTATTAAAAAGAACAAGGTATAGTATTTTTTAATATAGTTTCCAATTTCCACTTCCCATCAGAATTTATTGCTGGATGTTCAGTACTTTGAACATCTGTATCATAAAGTTCTAAAAGTTCATTTAAAGAATCATTTTCTTCCTCTTGAAGAACCTCTATCTACTCATAGATAACTGTTAAATTGTGTAATAATGTCTGTTCCTGATTCATTATTATCTTGCACATCATAATTTTGTTTGTTCAAAATTTCTTCTTCAATTAAGTTAATATTTACATTTGAAAGTTTAACTTCCAATATCATTTTTCTTTCAATACCAATCGTTTATCATAAGAAATCTTGTAATAAATACCCAAGACACCATCAGGAAATTTAAAATGTGTTATTCATTGTCCTCATTAAAAGCCATACTTCAAGAAAAAATGATATTTTATGTTTTTTTTCATTTAATAATAAAACATCATAATAAAGATAACCATCACTAATTTTCAGCTTATTGAAAGCTTAATTAAAAAGTTCTTACTATTGAGTTCAAATACATCTATATATATATCTGAGATCGTTCTAGTAACATAAAATTTTAACCCATGTAATCAATCAAAATCGCGAATTTCGATAGCATAAAAAAAATCAATGCTCAATTACAAGAGAGAAAATTATAGTTGGAGTGGAAGATTAGTATTGGTTTCAGAAATCTCACTGAGAAAGATAAAAATAGATAGATAAATATGCAATAATAAGATTCATTGCAATTATTTTACTTCTTCCAAAGATTTTGCTTTTTGTTAGGTAATAGTACACTTTCATTCTGCTTCCTTTTTCTAATGTTTATTATTTTTCTTTCTTCTTGGTAAATTTCATAAGTAATCTATTCTTTTCTTAGATAAGCTTCAAGTGTTTGAGTATCATTTATTTTAAAAATATTTGAAGCAATTTTTTCACCTTGTTCCTTCTTCAAAATACTTCTAATGGTGCTATAATTCTTTGGTTCCATAGTAGATCTGATGTAAATTAGTTTCATATTAACTATTTTTATATAGAGGTAATTCTATATATCAAGAGGATAACAAATGGAAGATTTTATTAATCACATTACTAAAATTTGACCCCTGAAATCTTTGGTAATACCAATGTTCACTTTGTCTGGTTTTGTTGCAGCATGCCCCATATATATATATACATGTACATAGATATATTAAATAATTACTATCAATTGCAATGAATAAATTTCATTTACTGAATCCTTTTCAGCTTTTGGTCTGAATTCGGAAAAAAGAAGCATATACTCAGGTGTTCTATAAATAGCATGACAATAGGCCTGTATATTAATTGAATTGGAATGATAGTAAAAATGAAAATCACCAAGTAACATCAGAAAAATCAGCAACAGATGCCACTCAAAAATATTTGAAAGTATTTCAATAAAATTTCCATTCCTTTTGTTTATAAATATGTAATTTTAAAAGTGATTTAACATATTATTTATTACAATAGGAAATTGATAAAAAAACTACTATAATGTCTGGAGTTTTGTTATTCGGGTTTCTTCCCTTTGAAGAAGTAAAAGATACTACACATAGAAGTCATTTAAAAGTCTTTGGAAAAAACATATTAGATGATTTTAATGAATCATCAGATAATATTTTAAATTCCAATTCAAGTGAACTTATTGGAATTGCATTAAAAATTAATGATCAATTATATTATCTTTGCTTTAAAGAAGATGATGATGGAAAGAAATTATACGCTGAAGCAGTGGTTCAACAACTTGATCAACATAATATATTACAAAGTGGATATCATAGCTAGCAAAACTTGAGCCTAATTTACCATGAGAAAATATAGCATCAAATGTAAAAAAAGAAATTACAAACCTGATGAATGCTGAAATTCCCATAAATCCAATTAATATTTATTCACAAGATGTTGATGAAGGTGAAAATGAAAATGAAGAGGATGAAATAGAAGAACATGATAATTTAGATGTTGAACTTGAAAATGAAATTATAAATGCTCAAGGTGAAGGCAGATATACTTTGGATGATAATGTTCATATTAGAATATCTGGAAATGGAAGAAATGTTGGTAAAAAAATCAAGCATCATGATTACATTTGCAATTATGAATAATAAAAATGCTTTTTTCTACCAGATTATCATTATAGCCTAGTACTATATTCTGGTATCGAAAAATATGAATACTTACAAAAAGCTTTACACCAACTTATAGAAGAGCTTGATGATATTGACAAGAATGGATTTATTGATTCAATTGGGCAAAAATGGAGAATAACTATATACTTTAGCAGTGATTGAAAATTTTTAACAATTTGTTTAGGAATAAACAATGCAACTGCAAATCATTTTTGTCCATGGTGCCTGTGTTCAAAATTTGATCATAGTAAATTAGAGAAAGAATGGAAAACTTCAAAAAAATGGAAATCATAAGAATTTTTAGTTCCAAAATATTTCAGATTTTTAGCATTTATTGTTAAATTTTTATTAAATGCTCAATCTAACATAACAACATTGTTTGGCATTTTAACAATTAAAATGGTTTTAATGTTTTTAGCAATATATTCTTGTCATGTGTTTTTGTTACTTTTATTTTAAACAATTCCCTTAGAACTTCAATATAATATTAAAATCAGTTAGTCAATATAATCAGTCTCTATAAAGGGTGGATTTGGATACAACAGTGTTAAAAAACACTTGGTTTTCCAAAAACAATAGTTATCCGAACAGTGGTTGTGTTAAAATTTTATCAAAAGCTGGAAGGCCAAAAAATTTGATTAAAAAAGCATGGTGGACATTCTTATAATTGGTAATGATTTTCGTCAATCAGATTACACAAAAAAAGAAAAATTGATTGGCCAGAATAGATTACACAAAAATTTAATATTGAGAAGGGTATCCCTTAAACGATTTTTAGACCAAATATGGTCTAAATTTCGAATTCTGTTTTTTCTTTACACAAAAAAGTTTTTATGTAAAATCCCGGGTGTGGCGTGTACTATTCAAAAGTTCTTCTCAATAGTATCTCAATATGTAAATAAAATAATAATGGTTTATTATTATGTAAATTTTCTAAATTTTATTATGTATTGTTCATGTAGTACAAAAATCCAGAATAAATAAAAGGTTTTCCGAATCTCGTTATTTATAATATTTTGGTATCATACGATTTTTAAACAGCTGTTATCATTTCCTGATCCAAAATTTAAATAGCCTGATTTTAGTAATGTTTTTATAATGAACATACAACAAAAATTTTGTATAAGACCATGATGAATGTATGATGCCAATGTATATATATGTTTTAAAACGGCTTTTACTTGATCTAAATCTTCTATATATAAGCCCAAGTAGAAGATACATCAAGGAAATTCAATTTATTGATAATTACTGTATCTATAAAATAAAAAAACAAAAAAATAAAAAAGAGTTCAATTAAAATGCAAGAAAATATTTTTGAAGAAAATCAACAAGATTCTGATAATGAATTAGATTATTATATTGCTAATATTACAAGAAGACCACAAAATATTTACCAAGATGAATCTCTTGAGTATAATGAATTTATTGAATCCCTTGACAATTTAGAAGATGGTAATGGAACTGATAATGATGGGACTACTGAGGAAATGGAGATAGATGAAACTCCAACAACTACAAGAATTGAAGGAACACAAATTCAACAAATTAACCTTCCACATCCATCACTATTTAATCAACTTAATCATCGTAATCCATTACATGATTCTGAAGATAATTTGCCAGGAGAATTTAATAGACTTGATTCAGTTAGCCCTTATGAAATTTTTAAATTATTTTTCTCTGATTCTATTTTAGCAACAATTGTAACTAATACCAATAAATATGCAATAAATAAAAATGGAGGAAATTCATGGTTAAGCATCGATTTATTTGACATAAAATTTGGTTAGGAATTATTATCTATGCTGGATTATTTAAAATGCCATCAATTCGAGATTTGTGGAATAAAAAAAAAGAATACCCAATACATTCTATTGCATCATATATGAGTATTAGAAATTTTGAAAAAATTAAAAATTTTTTGCATATTTCTGATATAGAAGAGAATCATCCATTTTGGTATTCAAAAGTTGAACCATTAGCATCCCACATAAATAGGATATCACAATCAATTTATGTACCATCATCTAATATTTCTATAGATGAAATGATTATAAGGTTTTGTGGCAGAAGTGCACATACTTTCAGAATAAAAAATAAGCCAACACCAGAAGGGTATAAGGTTTTAGCTTTATGTGATGCAGGTTATACTTTTTCTTTCATCTTTACCTCTAGAATTGAAAAAGATAATGAAGTTGAACAAATTAAGAATCTTAATAAAATAGGAAGTCAAGTTTATCATTTAGCTTCCAAATTACCTTCCAATAAAGCATTCAATATTTATATGGATAATTACTTCTCTAGCATCACATTATTCAAATTTTTACATAGTAAAGGAATTGGTGCTTGTGGAACTGTTCGTACTAATTCTTCAAGATTTCCACCAGCTCTTAAAATAGGAAAGAAGAAATTAGATTGGGATACCCTCTCTGGTGTTGTTGTAGATAATGATGTATTGGCAGTATTATGGATTGATAATGGTCCTGTCACAATGTTATCCACAATACATAATATAGTTGGTTTTGAAAATAGAATATATAAACTTCGGCGCTGTCCTTGTAAGACTAGTAGTAATGCAGTTAAAGTAAAAAAAGTATTTGGTAGTAAAACAAAAAAATTATTACCAATCCCAAAGATAATTGATGATTACAATCATCATATGGGAGGTGTTGATATTGCAGATCAACTAAGAAGTTATTATTCCACTCAGCAAAAAGTTCAAAGAACCTGGGTGCCAATATTTTTCTGGTTATTGGATACTGCTATCATAAATTCTTATTTAATATACAAAAAAAATATAATAATCAGATTATGCATAAAGATTTCAGAATGAGTATTGTATGGGATTTAATAAAAGAAGGATTAGATAGGAATACTGGTCAAAGAGAAACTCGTTACCAATCATCTTTTTCATCATCTTCTCACACAAGACAAGCTTACACTACTTCTAAATCAACACTTCCATTGGAAAGATTAATTCAAGGAGATCATTTGCCTGAGTATAGAGAAAATAGGACTA